CAGTGTGTGACCTTTAGGAGGATCCGTAGGCAGAATTTGAATATAATATTCATAGGTATGTTTTTATTAGTGAATAATAACCTGGGAATTGAAGAATTGTTGTGTTTTTGTTGCCTTAGAATGAGCCATCGGGTGGTGCTGGGAGTTCACTCACTTTTAATGGTGGTATGGTTTGTGGTGGCACATTTTTATTAGCGTGCTTTTTTATCTGAATTGTGTTTCGGTTCATGTTACATTTCGCACAGGTAGAATGGAGCTGGTTGATTAACAAGCCTATAAAGTGTCTGTAGAAAAAAATGACACTAACTTTTAAGCAATATGTTGTGCACTGACCTTCATACACTAAAAGCTTTACAGAACATGCGGTCTTTTCAACATATCATGTCTATAATGAATGAGAACCGCTGCCCTCTAGTGGTCACAGTGAGTAAGATATAGCATTGTAATATTTTAAATCCTTCAAAAGACAAAAAAAAACTACAACAGACAATAGGTGTAGTTACATACTAGCAATAGCATAAGCCCTCACCCACTGACTGCTTTATTTACAGCTTTACAATACAAGTAGCCTAGAGAGCAAGAAGGTTCTCTAACAGTAGCGTTTCTCTGGAGTGACAGTTTCCGTGCAAGGGGAGTGGATCAGCAAAAGTGTAGTTTATGTGTTGATACCCCTCTAGAGGGTACAGTGGGTAACTACAACTTATACATTTCATTGGAAATCATTTAGACAGAAAATGACAGTTGGAAATTAAGTACTTATTTTGACAAATGTTGAGTTGTAATTATTGATTGTGACCACTAGAGCAGGAAATATTTAAATACATATGCTGAAAATCAAAGTAGACACAATAGCGTCGTAATACTCAAATTAAATACTCAAAATAAAACTCATTGCCGACAGTTGTAATTACAAGACAATGGTATACTAACTACTGAACTATAAAATAAAACTTAAAATCTACATCAAGTGTCAATGTAGCTTAACACTATGACTACATGCAGCGATGTTAGACTTGAAACAGACAAGAGTATTGATCTATCAAATGATGGCAATCCATGAGAGACAGTAATCCAAAGAGAAAGAGGGAGACTAAACAAAGAGAGCAGAACAGAGCTGAAATGGAGGCTGAAGCCAGCTCAGCACCCCTGCGTCTGCTGTCCATCTCTCTGTGTGAGGTAGATGAGTTGTAGAGAATTGTAGAGATTGACCACCACAGGAAATACGCCCTCCTGTGGCGTTCTGTAGTGCATCGTGGTGATAAAAGTTTACTGCTGAATGTGCTCTTATGCTAGATCATGTCCACGATACTTTTTTGCGCAGCATCTTCCTCTCTGACACCACTAGCAAAGACTTAAGCTCCACCCCGGAAAGGAGCCAGTCTTGACAGCAAAGAAAATAGCACCGGCTACCACAGACTGGTAGAACATCCTCAGCATGGTACTGCAGACCCTTGAATGACTGGAGCCTCCTTCTTGTACACAGCCTCTGTGTTCTTAGCCCAGTCCAGCTTGTTGTTCAGGGGTACTTACAGGTAGCTGTACTCCTGCACAGTGTCCACATCACCCCCTGGATGGAAAATAGGATTAGGCAGTGTTTTTTTTCGGGTGTAAATCCACCACAAACTCATTATTTTTGGTTCAGTCCACACCACAGGAGTTCACTCCACCCCTGTACTAATCTGCCACACTATTTGAAAAGTAGAGCTGTAAACTCTGTGACCAGTTAATATAATAACACCATAACTGAACCAAATAGAAAGAGTGAGTTCACTTATATACATTTTTACTTTACAGGTGCAGTACCAAGATTTGACCAGCAGATGTCATAATTTTGAATGTCAAATGCTCCAAAACAATTAATCATTTTAAATACAGCTACATGTGGTTGAGCACTTTACAAAGCAGTTGGACCCCTGTTGTTTACTGGCTGGCTGAAAATATGCCTTCTCAAAAAACTTCTTATAAAGCCTATTTAAATTAAACTATTCTACATGCATCTGTAGGTCAGAACTAAGATTTAATTCACATCAACATAAACAAGGTAGACTGGATTTTAAAGTCACCATCTGCTTTTTTAAAATGAGATGAACAAGGGACAACTTGAAAGTAAAGCATGATTTGGTGCAAGAATAACACTGAGACAATATTTTCTCAGCAAAACATTTCATTTGTATGATTCATTATTTGAAAAACTGACAAGAAAAACGCTGCGCTGGAGTTAGAATCATAATATTCCCTTAACTTTTCCAATATGGATTTACGGTGTGCCACTGCATGGTGAATCTGTATTTAAACTAATGCACTTACCTAGGACCTTATTCCACTTGTTGACATTTTCTGTCTCTTATGGCTATTATCATTTTAATCACAGGATCTCACAGTGCTGTCATGATATCTGTCTACTATCTTTCCAGATTTGATTATAGGATTACTAACATAGGATTACTGTTTTTCTGAGAGCAGGTTGTAGATGGGCGTAAACATTGCAACAGCTGTCTATTTACATGGCATGTTCTGGCAAGGCAAAGTTTCACAAGTTCAGCATAACATGAAGCAAGAGGGGGGGTATGTGAATGTGAGCAATTCTTCTTCAGGGTCTCTGACTTCAAAGAATCTCTGCCTTTAACACACACACACACACACACACACACACACACACACACATACACACCGGATGTATCCTCCAGCTGTGGAGGCAGGCCTACCAAACTATCCGGAGGGACTGTTGAGGGGAGGAAAGAGGGGGTATAAAGACAAGCACATAGGGATGGAGTTTTCCTTATCTGGTCATGCTGCTTTGTCCTACTTTGTAAAATAGTAAAACATAGTTAATAGACCAATTAGCGCACATACACAAATGCATACACAGACTCCGACTGAGTGACTCAGCTATTGTCTGACTCACCTAGACTTGCACACAAACACACCAAAAAACCACAATATGGCATTCTTCATTGACACTTTAACTGAGGGAGGTGAAGCGAGTAAATGAAAGAGTCAAAGAGAGAGACAATCCCCAACAATTGGCAAAGTACAAAGAACAAGAGAATAAGTTGCCTGCAGCTGTTTTAGAGAGAGAGAGAGAGAGAGGAGAGAGGGAGGGAGTGAGGGCGGCGAAGGAGGGAGAAAAAAAAAAAAGAAGCCAACTCATCTGACACAAGCAGTGGGCCAAAGAAAGGGGAAGAGCAGGAGCAGCACTGTCCATAACGAGTGGAAAAACCAAAGTTGGAGAAGTCAAGAAGAAGTGTAAAGAGGGCAAGACAAGAGAGAAAAAGAGCGAGAGAGAGAGGGTCTGCACAAAGACTGAACTGGGAAAAAAAAAGTTCTGACCTGAAAAACAAAAGAAGAAAAAGGGGGTTGAAGCAGAGAGGGCCCCAACATTTACTAAGGTAAGAAGCTGTTGGCCTTCCACGGTGGTATCATTGCATTTCAGAGAACTCTGATGGAGTGATTGAGCTCCTATTTCTGCTCTGTGTGTTCATTTGTTACTATATATTTCCTCTATGCAATGTGTGTGGTGAGTTATGTGTGACAGATGAAACGGGGGCAGGGGGAGGAGTGAGTGTGTGTGTGTGTGTCAGAGTGGGTGTAGGATAGAGGGGTGAAAGAGTTGCTTGGTTGGAAGCTCTTATAACACAAATGAGTTTCAATTTCAGTTAGTTGTTATAAAGTTTTTTACACGTAAAGTTAGAGTTTTAGATGCTGGAAGGACTGGGTTAACACAAGTTACTGGATCGCCTAAGGACTTTTGAAAACTGGGGGAACAAATTTCCTGTCTGACCTGCCAAGAGATTATAAAAAGTCTGGTGGACCCATGGTGGAATTAGATCTGTGCTGGTAGGTGGTAAGTTATACAGTATACTCTGTGTTGTACTTAAAGAACAGTGAAGTATAGCACATGATACATGTGTTACCACTTGCTTTTATCTTTTACAGCTGAATGAAGGCCAAGCAATACAAGGAAATGCTTCACAATTATCAAAGACAGCACAGAGAGCGAATTGGATGTTTTTTTTTCCTTTTTTAAGGATATCAGATGTAGGTTTTTACATATTCAGTGTACAACAAAGTCTGGGCAAATCCCAGCCCTTTAGAGGGGTTGATTATACATGTCTATGAAATCATATTTGAAAGGCCTATGATGCCATCTAATTCATTCCAGTAGATATGGAGTGGTACAGCACAGTTTCTCTTGCACATAGACAGAGACACAATGCTTAAAAGAGCATGAAATCATATTTGAGAGGCAAGTAGATCACAGCTAAGATAGTAGAGGTCAGTAAATAGTTGAGGTTAGAATTCACACTTGATTGTGTACTTATAGGGCAAATCTTTTATATAACAGTTGGGACTGAAAGTGTGAAAAGGTTGAAGACTACATAGTAAAACTTGAAGGAATGCACCAAATTATTTTATATTAGGCAGGGAGAGCTGCCCCACCCCCACGCTCCTCTGTAAACTCAGACACAGTCATACCCCGAAAGAAGTTAGCCAGCAATGGGACAGGAAGTGGAGGTCAAGGGTTGAAAGGGAGGCGATTCATTATTTTTCTGACCGTTAGCACACCAGGGTTGTGTAATCTATGAGACCTCTGCTGTAAAGACACGACAGAGGCAAGCTGAGGGAGACTCAGGCAGGGAGAGGCATCGCATTATGCTCTTTGTGGAGCATGTGATGCCCCGTGAACAGCAGAATGTGGAGGAAAATCATTGAATCTAATTGTGCGCCTAACAGAGCCACGGGGAGAGAAGGCTGCAGGGAGGAAAAACAGGCAAGACATAAAGGCTGTGTCTGGGTGGAGTTCAGCTCCGGGTGCATCAAGGGTTTGAAACACCAGAAGGCAAAACTGCTAGTGCTTAAATATTTAAGCGGAAAAGTTTCTTTTTTGGAAGTGGAACCACATGAGCATAAAGTAACATTAAAAGATCACAAACACCGTATGTGGATCACTTGATTTACGCATTTCTCACTTCTTGCTATGTGTGCCTGTGTCTGTCGTTGGTTAGAGCACATGATAAAGTGTGCCGGTGTTTTTTTTCATAATAATAAAAGAAAAGACAAGGCCACCAGCATGGGAAGAAAGTGAGTAAATGATAGGATGTGCTGACCTTTCCCCCCAGTTTATTTTAGGATAGCTCGTGTTTCAAAGCTGGGAATGCTGGGACAGGATACTCCATGCTCGCTGATGTTGTTAAGGCGTGTTAGACACTGCCTCGATTTACTGTACAGGTCCTGGTTCAAATTTACTGTACACGCCACTATCCAACAGTAACTACAAGTCTATAATGGGTTTACAGAGCCTCCATTATACGATTCAGTCACTGACAAATTACACCTGCTGTATATCTTCACATTAGTCCTGACAAGAGTGCAGCAGTCATTTATCTGAGGGGATATCTAATGCTTTCATATCACAGACCTTCAAATAGACATTAGAGCAGTGATTCACAACCAGAGGTACTTTCCCCGGGGGTACTTCTCTAGAGGGTACATACAAGATTGAGGAGTAATTTGATAATAGAAATTATGATTTGATTAAAAAAATATGTCCACACAAAGAGTCATCTGTAACATCTGAACACGACGCAAAGAGGAAAAGCTTAAAGTGATGATATATGGTTGGATAGCTAAGGTTATGGATAAATGGTTAAACTAGGTTAGTAGTGGATAAACAGATAGCACATAGCAAAAAAAATAAATAAATATAAACAGTTGAAATAGATAGTTAACGTAATGCATTAATGGCTAAAAGTAAGTAAGTAGGCCTAAGTTGAAATTACCTAAATGTAGATAAACAGTTGGAATAGTTAATGCTAGCTATGGCAAAACAATTGAATTAGTTACTTAGGTAAAATCAAACAGTTGAAATAAATAGCTAAAAGAAAGCTATTAGATAAACATTTGAAAAAGGTAACGCTAGCTAAAAGTAATAGCTAAACAATTAAATTACTTAGCTAGAAGTAGATACCCAGTTGAAACAGTTAGCTAAAAGTAAAACCTAAACAATTGAATTACCCAAAAGAACATAAATAATTGAAATAGTATTTCCATTGAAAAGCAATTAAAAAACCCTTCTGGCAGGTTTCCTAGTGGGTATGTGGGTCTCCACTGACACCCATATGCAAGGATTTTAGCTGGTATGAATTTTAAAACTTTAAAACAATGTAGGTGAGAATAAAGTCTATAATTAAAATAAGGCACATACATTGTCTAAATGGGATCACATCTGCTGAACACCATGCTCATTTTAAACATTTCATTGTTAATGCTGTAGCTACAAAGCCCCAAAGCCTCCATTACCTGCACATGGAAGCCAATTAAAAAAAGGTCAGTGTGCATATGAAAGTGATACCATACGCTAAACTAATGATATACTCCTTACTCTCTCAGAGAACAGGATGTCGACGCTATCATCAGAAAACAGCCCTGAAGATGTCAACAATCGCAGCTTCTGGATGGTAAGATTGCGTGTTTGTGTGTGGCTCTGTCTCTCTATCTATTTGTCTTCTGAGAGAGAGAGAGAGAGACTGATCCACAAGATAGCTCTTCCCTTGGTATCTCGAGTCTCAGTGACCTTACAGTCAAAACAAACTAAACTGTTTTGTCGTTCAGGTATCAGTGTGCTGTGCTTTCATTTTTTAAATGTGAGCAGTAACCATTGTACACACTCAGCTGCTTTGCTTGGGTTAACTGCAGCCCCGGGAAGGTTTTGGTGATAGTGCTCAGCTCATTAGGTATTTGACTGTCTGTGTTTGCTCGACAAAGTAGACTGTAGAGCACAGCGGTCATGTCTCTGGGGATCCAGGATAAGTTTTTTCTATTTTCACTGCTCACTGCAACATCATTGTTCTGCTAAAATAGCTTATTACTGCCTACATGCATGAGGTTTATTTGTAGTGTCTTTATTAAACAGTGACTTCCTTCTTCGCATGGCGACGGGACTCCAGTGTTAATTAGTGAGTGTTAGAGGTGCTGGTAGATGAATTTTGTTACCTTCAGACAGAGCCAGGCTAGTTGTTCCACGTTTTTTAGTCTGTGCTAAACAAGGATAACTGGCTGTTGGCTGCAGCCTTATATTTACCATACAGACATGGCAATGGTATTGATCTTCAACTTTCCCAAAATAGCGCATCATTCTCAACCATATTCAATTTCGATACTTCACGTCTCATTCATACGTAGTTGACATACCAAATTAATTAAATAAAAAATTCCCCCCAAAACAAGACAGACCAGATATTTACCTATCCCTCAGTTGTCGCCATCAGTGAAAAGCTACACAGATATTGACTCTGGATTGATCCGTTGCTATATCCAAACTTTTTGTTTGTGGTCTTTTCTACTTTCTGTTTCTTTTCTTGCTTTGTTTAGCAGTGCAAAATGATGTAGGTAAAGGTGGAACTAAATTTTGGTAATTCTTGCAACAACTAGATCGATAGCTTCAGTAATATCTGCCTGTCCGGCTTGTTGAAGACTGCAGTCATATGCAAAGAGGGCAGGGGCAGAGTGTGCAGAGGTAGATGAGGTGGGCTCATTACAGGCCTGTGACTGCTGCAGATATCGGATTTTGATTTATTAATTTCTGTCGGGATGTGAAGAGAATTTCAACCAATAAAACTAAAAAAATGCTTCTGAAATACACTACCTACCTTAACTTTAAGACTACCAAATTTATACTACGTGTAAGTGTTTTATTGAGAGGATACTGTCAATACAGAGGTGATGGCTTTCATTCATAACTCTATCCTAAACAGAATAAAGAAAAGAGATTAAAATAAATAAGTTAATCAATATCAAATAAATAAGCAACATAAAATAAATGTATATATGTAAGCAATATATGCATGCATATATGACTTATATCAGTACAATAAACAATTCCACAGTTTTATCTCCATAGAAGCTTTAGATCGTAATCATATCAATAATTCACAGGTAACACAAGGAAAATTACACAGACAGCTAAGCTTTACAGTTTTATTACAGTTTTATTTGAGCATAAATCTAATATTATTTTCATCTCCTGTCCAGTCTTGCAGCAGTACCAGACAGAAATAAGTAAAGTTATGGACTCCATTTTCCAGGGTTAACTTCATTTACGGCCCAAACAACTATTACTTGGTAGAACACCACAGCTCTCGAGAAAACTTAAGCAGATAACAAAAAATGTCTGAAACCAGAACCACCACAACTTAGTACATGGAAGAACACGATTTATTAAATTTATAAAATCGTAAATTAATCTGTAATAAAAAATATATTATTTATTAATATATATTTTATTTTTTTTTACTTTTCTGTAGTATTCCACTGTATTCCAACAAACAAAGAATATACTAAATAAATCTAATCTGATAAGAAAAAAATACATTTTTTAAAATTGCAAATGACTTTTATACAAATTTGCTTCAATCTCCTTTAATACGATTCAGCACCAGTTAGAAACATCATAGTATGTTATTTTTCCATTATGTGAACTGCTCTGCATTCTGTTTACAAGAAAACACAGTTCTGTTTTGGCACCATGTTTTAAAGCTGTAAACACTTCCAACATTCAAAGTGCTTGACTATCTAATTTGAGCATGCTACCGCTTTAATATTGGCTTTGTCTCCCGTTGGCCTTGATGGGCTGCCCCACTTTCATCTCTCCCCTCCTGTAATTTTGGCAGCCTCCTGTTGTGTTGGATGTGTTTCCAGGCCAGTTCCTCTCTGTGTCATCCTGCCGCCATGCTCAAGGGCTGTCTGTCATTACATTGCAAACTTAAGCTCTTTTGTGTTTGCAATGTCACCATCACTTGAAGAGGTTTGCAATTACGTGTATTCTGTAGAGTATACAAGTGTACTATTTGTACTAATAGATACATGCTGCTGTGATGCCTCGGCTCCATTATTGGCCTCTTTACTCTCTGCTGATTCATTCTGTGGTGATCACTGACGAGGTACTACATGGTCAGGCTCTCATAATGTGCCCTTTATGCTGTTTTCAAGTATAAAACAAAAGATGATAGTGTTTTAAATCTGAAACAGACTTTGTAAATGTTTGACTGTACTGATTAATCTATCTTTTAAAAAAAGAAAAAGAAAAACATGTCTGTCAGGCATCAGGCTCTAATCTTGTTTAATGGTGTGCTGTGTCTCATGAAATGGACATTCTGTTTTGTACACAGGTCTATATTTGGTTTAAAAGCACTTTGGAAGGACATAAATAAAAAAGCTGGCATAGATATAGTTTACTTCTACTGTTTCTACCTCCATGAATACTACTACTACTACTATGACCACTCCTATGCTGCTTACAATTCCTTTTCTATAACTATTACTGCTGATATTGATACTACAACCACTTATGCTACTACTGCTAGTACTACTGCAACCGTACAGCCAATATTACTCTTGCTGGTGCTGTACTACTTCTGCAACCACTCTTTCTGAGCACTGACATGCTTTATAGCCTGGAAAGGATTGGCGGTATATGTGAAATGTGATTTTTCAATAGAGGAACGTGGCCATTTTCTGATACTGCGTTTTGTTGCTTGGACAGATTCTCTAGTAGCGGATTTGCATCTGCCTTAGAGATTGGCCAACTGGGTCTCTGCAGCGTTGCCGTTGGCCTCAAACTGGATTCCTCAGCTGTTTCTGTTTAATTCTCAGACGAGTGAGGAGAGTCAGTGCAAACCACAACAGAGGCAGAAAGAAAGAAAGTAAGGAAGAAGGAGAGAGAGATGGAGAGGGGGGGCCTGATGAGAAGCCCCCCGATTGATTCTGATTAAGGCATAAGGAAACTGCGATAGCTTTCTGTGAAGTCTGTTAGTATGAAATTAAATCCCTTTTACATTCAGGGTGCACGTTTTTGTACATGCTGTATTCTAACTTCTAACTACTGTTAATTATGTGACGACCAGGTTAAATGTCAGTGTTAAAGGAGGGAAACATATATCAACTTAAATGTTTTGTTTACAATAAAGTAGAAACAGAAGTAGCTAAACTTTAAAAAAAATATAAGAAATAAAAATGTGATATTGAAATAAATGAACTCTTATTCTATTGGACATGTCCTACATATTTTTTTATCATATTAATGTTACTGTATTTTGCAAGAACTGAATTTAATTACACAACCCTGTATTGTGAAATGACAATTAAGGACCTTTTATCCTTGTATATTGATTAATCTAACTTTAACTACCTGGAGAAGAAAACATACTGCATGTTGGTCTTACAGTTACTGCTAGCACTACCAACATGTTTAGACATACGAAGACTTAACTGCTTGACCTTTCCGGTGCACCCGCATTAAATTAACCCCTAACCACTAATTAAGAGTCCCATTAGGATCGAAGACCTTTTCAATTAGTAGTAATGAACAAAGATTTAGCTCCTTGGTCAAATACTCTGACAAAGTCACTGCTGGAAGCAAATGTCTGCTCACAGTTAACTGAAGAATGAAATATCGTCAACAGAGAATTTGCCAAAAAAAAGATTGAAAAAAAGAGTGTTGTGGCTTACAATATTAACTGTGCAGCGGGTACTGTGTTTAACGTATTCAGTGCATTCAGACAGTGTTAGCGTCAATTATAAGACAGACATACAATGTGCTGTCTGCTGTGTGCAGACATTTTGACTTGACATATCAGAAAAAGCACAGGTACAAGTCGTAATACTAATGATGTCTCTCTGTTACATTTAGCTCCTGGTAAGCCCTGGCAATGAGCCAGCACGCACAACACCTCCCTGTAGCTCCATGATTGACGTTATTAGTTACCCCTTTGTTTGACAAGTAAAAATGTCAGCCACGAGAAAGTTCTGCTAACCTATGTTAATTTCTTTAATTAATTTTGTGGCATTTACAGTAACTGCATTGCCTCAGATGATTTAACATAACATGACAACATATATGGTGTCCAGAAACTTCATCCAACCAGCTGTCGAAATGTGTCAGTGACTAACAGATAGAGTCTGACAGAAAGCGAAAAAGAGAGTAGGAGTGAGTGCTGAGTAGGAGCTGACAGTGGCTGCCAGGAAAATTGCAGAGATTTCCAAATACCACATCTACAAACAACACATTTGCTTCAGATATGTTATTACACTCAGGGCCTTGCCTCTGCTGCCCTCTCTCCGTCTGGCCTTTTTACGGCCTGGCGTTGTCCTCATGTCCACTGAGCACACCAACAGACTTTGCCACAGGAAACTTAATGCCAGTAAAGTGTCACTTGTGACATGCGGGGGTTGACCTTAGACGTCTGCAGCGGTGTCACAGCTGTGAAAGGAGAGGAGGATGCGAGCTGGACCTTGTTATGACTGACTGACCGGAGAATGTGATACAGACCAATAGCGACTGTTAAATGTTAAAGAGGTAGCAGTTCCTATAGTGGTGGTGCTTTGATGTTTTGACATGTCAGCGGTAACTAACAGCATTATTAATGGCTGAATTCCATTTAGGAAGTTCTAGATTAAGAATTTTTGCATGCTGGTTAACTGGCACAATTTACTGGGAACACCTAAATGGAGCAGAGCAACCATTAAAGGAACAGCTGGACATTTTGGGGAAACACACTTTGACTCTCTGATACACTTTGTGTTAGATGAGAAGATCGATACCACTCTCATGTCTTAACAGTAGATATGTAGCCTAGCAGGAGCCAGCAGCTGGTTAGCTTAGCTTAACACGAAGACTGTAAACAGGGAACAGTTGCCAGGCAACCAGAAGAGACTCTAAGAGTTGCAGCAATAGTCTGGCACATAAACTCCTGTAAAACAGCACTTCAGTGTTTGCAGATTACACAATCAAGATGCTAACATGTTCATTAGTGAGCTTTAGAGGGTGTAGTAATGTGAAGTTATTATCTTTTGACAGATCCAACTTTTTCCCTGTTTCCAGTCTTTAAAATAAACTAAGCTAATGATAATCTAACTAATCAAAAAAAAAAAAAAAGTTTTTACTAGCAAGGTTGTACTAGGAGCAGCAGTGGCAGTTGTGTTTGTAATAGCAGTATATTCATAGTAACAGTACCAGAAATATTAATAGTATAAGTAGTAGTAGTTATAGGAGAGCCATGCTGGATTGGGCCATTTCAGTGCTCAGTTTTAGTTTCTAAATTAGTTTGTCTAAATCAGTTTATGGTCGACATGCTGTTGCCACTCTGCCAGGAATAAACTGTAAGCAGATGTACAATTTTGTATTCTCTGGCATTGAAATGGTGAAACTAAAAAGAAAGGAAACTAAAAGACTGTATTGAATATTGGCAAAAATATCTCCCGCTTTGGGCTTTTTCAATCCCAAAAAATAGTTATGGGGTATTAATATCAGGGTTTAAAGCACTCAATTGGACCTCCCTCATCCCCCTGTTTATTTTATGCTAACAGTAGCTCTTTCTCTTTGTGTCCTGGCAGCCTGGGAACTATCAGCGCACTGTGAAGCGAACAGAAGATGCCTTCCAGGCCTGTAATGACATAGTGGCGTGTTTCCAAGAGAGAGCTCGCGTGGAGCGGCAGTACGCCCAGCAACTCAGTGAATGGAGCAACAAGTGGAAACCAGTCGTGGACTCCAGTAAGTGTAGCTGCAACCCCAGTTAGTTGTGTCTACAGCATGGAAACTGTTATAATAAGTTTTTGTGATAAGAGGTGACAATACGTACCTTCTAGTTTCATGTAAATAGTTTCTGCTCATCAGAGTTGTTTCTAAAGTACGAAGAAGATTGTAGAACTTTATGATTCCCTGGTCTTCGTCCTCCTCCCTCAGGTCCTCTATATGGATCACTTCTGAAGGCTTGGCAGTGTTTTCTGTCCTCTGCTGACCGGCTGGCCTCCTTACATGCCTCCATTTGTCGCTCCCTTGTGTCGGAAGATGGAGATCGGGTCAGGACCTGGCAGAAGGACACCTTCCACAAGAAGTTATTCGGGGGCTTTAAGGAGTCCCAGGACACTGAGACAGGCTTTATACGTGCTCAGAAGCCGTGGGCCAAACGACTTAAAAAGGTCAGGTTACACCGGATTACACTGAAGATTAAAAGTTTTAGCTTGAAAGATATAAAAAAACATTAATCCAGGCTTCTCTTGACGTAAAATGCAGTCCAACTGAAATTACATTTCATTTTATGGCACAACATACATATCTTGTGCTATAACAAAGAAATCTGAAATCAAAAAGGACTACCGTTCTGGTATCCATGTATGTATATATAGAACCTATTTTATAGGCAATCACATCTTGCATAAAGCAGTAACATTAGCATTCTATCGCAGGCAGAAGAGACAGCAAACAGAGCCGACAGCAGCTACACAACACGAGCCACAGACTGAACAACAACCCATATTAGCTTTCATGCTTACGTGATCTAACTTACACACACAAACACACATCTTGTCCTTCTTGTTGAACGAGCGTCAAAACAAACATTCACCAGGGAAAAGTGCACTGCTGATGTCAGTTTTAGCTAATGAGTTGTTAAGCTGCCTCACATTAAAGAGCATGTTAACAGACCTGATAATGTCACTTGGATCCAATTATATG